GCTCAGGAGAGAATGGGAGGCCAAACTTCGGTCTGGTGGCTATGGAGAGCATTCTGGCTGCTATGTGCGTGGGGTGGTAATAAGCGGGGTGGGTGCTGTGCTGGTTGTGCGCAGGATGGCGTGCTGTCCGGGCTGGTGCGCTGGGTAGGGTACTATGTGGCGTGGGAGAGGAGTATAAAGGCTGGGTGGACTGGTATGTGGGCTATCTGCAGTACTTTGTGGGCTGCGATACCGTGGGAGCTGAGTGCCGTAGTATATGGGCTGCGTGTGGTGCCATGTGGGCTGAGTGAAGTGCTAAATGGGTTCTGTGGGCTGGTGCAGTAGTATGCGGGCCAGCTGCCCTACAATGTGGGTTGGGTGTAAGCTGAGAGTGGTACTATGTCTACTGGGTGCGGGCTGCGTGTCACAATATGGGGGATGGGAGCAAGCTGGGTGTGGTACTATGGAGGTTGGGAGCGGGCTGGGGTTGGTACTAGAATGTAAGCTCAGCCGAGGCTGGGTATGGTACTGTGTGCACTGGGTGGAGTACTAAGTGCGCCAGGTGTGCTGCTAAGTGAGGTGGGTGTGGGGGTATGAGCGCGGGACACATTGCCATGCGGGCCACCTGTTCAAGACATCTGACAGTGTGTTCCAGTTGTTGTCCCGGGTAGGGTAAGGCCCGATCTTGGCCATAGATCTCAGAGATCTGATGGCCCAGATCGGGCCTTTTTTTTCATTTCGGAGGCCCTGTTGCCTTCACAAAATAGGTCCTTCCTCCCCCGGCCGACCTACTCCCCACCCTAGTGCCCCCAAAACCTCTACCCCCCCCCACCTATTTTCTACACCCCATCCTGCTGCCCCCTCAAGGCAGCAAGCCCCACAGTAGGCAATGGCACGTTCGGCAGGGACTCCACCATATGGCCATATGCCCGTCTGTTACGGTGACCTCTTGTGCAACGTACGGGGGACTTCACTGCTGTAGCATAGGAGGTACATGCGGTTAACTTGTGACCTTCAAACCTCATGCCCTGTGCTGTCTTCTGGTTGGAGTGATAAATTATGCGGAACAGGCCCTGAAAGAGCGGCAAAATGGGGTGTGCCAAGGATTTTTGGGGAAATTGAGTGTGGGGACACAGACGTAACTGAAATCCCCCGTGTGGTTCCAGTTTTAGTGAGAAAGGGAAAGAAATAGCGCTTTTTTCAGCTTTCAAACGTTCGTTTAATCCAAAAACTATCTTTGTACTTCCATACGGGCTATTCGATGTATTTTTGAACGGAAAGGCGGGGGTACACATGTTGGATCTCGTTTTTTGAATCCGACGCCGTTCGGTATAGAGTTCGGAATCCAACGTGGATGGCCTCAGCCTGGTCGCTCTTTCCTTATGTCCGTCCTCGCCACGTGTCCGGTAATGGAACCCCTTTTCCCGATAACGCTCAATGTGGCGAAAATCGCTGCATAGAGTGTTGGGCCAATGAGGCGCCACTGTGACGAACTAATTTCTGTAGTGCGCGACTTTCTGCGCGAAGTGCCAATGGAGGTCCCACGTTAATTGGGCGGATCGATGGAAAATTGCATGTGTGTCCTTGTTTTCTTCGTCGTCTCTTCATTTTTGCACGAGTTCCTGATGACGGTTGGGGAGGCGGATTCGGGAATGCATGGGAAAAAGGGGTGAAACTTGGTCGGATGGATGCTGAGTGCGCGATTAATAAACGTTGACATCGCTTCTTTCCTTTCTTTTGATTTTTGTTTTGTCGGACTTTTGGGCGCGCAGACATCGCGCGGGAATTTCGGTGTCTTTTTGAATTTCCTTTTTGAATTTTCTTTTCGAATCTTGGTCAGAGCCATACGGCCTTCGGGATTTTTTATCTTCTTTTCGGACCTTTTCGTAATTTAGGAATTTTGGAATTTCTGTTTTTTTGGAGCGCTGTTTTGCATGTTCGCGCGCTCTTTCTTGCTGCTGCGCCGAGACCGTGATTAACTGGCGCCTTAATCCTTTTTGCAACTGTAATTTTAGGYGCACGACTTTGCAACTRTATCTTTCTGTTYCTTGCTTCTTGTTCTTCCCGCCTCATTTCTTCCTCTCCTCCCTCCCTATCTGGGTAGCCGCGTTTGCATGTTCGGATCGATGCGTGGAGTTGGGTACGTCCCCCACGCCGCGGCCTGATCATGCAAACGTAGGCACTCCCTTCCCCTCATCTATCTAAGTCCTTGTAATTCCGTGTTCTTCACGCATGCATGCACGCTATAAATTCCGGCTGCGCGATTAATTTCGCTCTCTTAACTATTGCTGGAAGCTCGGGGTTGCGCGACGACGGAATGTCGGCACACGAGCGAAGTAAGAGGTGAGTGAAGTGGGAGTCGGGCGACCCGACGAGCTGGTGCCGAATGCGCGGGGTTGACGCGGGCCACGACGGACTGTGGGCGCGGAGCGAACCTGACGGGGGCAGGAGGACTAAGCGGGGTGATGACTTCGTGGGTTGGTGCGCGACGACGGACTGTCGGCATCGGAGAGTGAGAGAGAGAGAGAGTTGAGGTTGAGTTGGACATGGATTTGCATCTTTCTTTTTCGTTCCTTTTTCATCTGTGTATATAAATTTTGGTGCCGATTACGGGCGACTCGCCCTTGTCTTTTGCGGCCATCTTTGTCTTTTGTTTCGACTTGGTTTTCTCTCAATGTTTTCCGTTTTGTTTTCTTTCTCGGACTTTCGTTTCGCGAAATGATGTATGGATAAACCGCGCACATCTTGCACTTCGTTTTTGATTTTTGATTGACGTCCCGGACTTATGAAATCGGATGGGAATGGAAATGGCATGTTGGCGTGATTGATTGGATGTCTGTCGTCTCACAATGATCGTCTGACGAGCCTGACCTGACGTATCGTATGCACGCATGTAAGCACGATCCGAATGGAGTGCGGCTTACACGCGTCCGGACCACTCCGACCCGTAATTTGTGTCCTATCTGTCGCACCTGGTTAGCCCTTCGCCAGGCCGGGAGTTGATATCCACAGGATCGGGTTAACCATCGCTCGCAAGTGCGCGTAAGTGCGACTCATTCGCATCTTTCTTACGCACTTACGGACGGTGATTTCCCCGAACAGCTTGTCCCCTAGGGTGTGTAGGATGAAAGAATGACGAGCTTGCGGAGCTCCGACGTATCTTGGAATTCCGAGGATTTCGACGCGTATTTCGGATATCGGGAATTCTGGGAAGAAGAACAACGTCGGTTACGAAGGAATCTGAGCAACCCGAAATTCCCTTGTCTTACGAAACGCGATAGGGTATGCGCCAGGGAATTCCATCTCGCCGTAAGAAGCGATCCACGGGGACCCGATTACCCGAACACTTATAACACGCAATATTTTATATCCCCCGGTTTCGTCATTGTCGCTCTTAATTTCCCGCCTTATCATCTTCTTCTCCCCTATCATCAGCTCACAGTGGTACCGTGGAATTCCATAGCCCCCTACAGGCCGCGAACTCCGTGCAGGAATTGCAAACGGCACGATAATTTCTGAACTCCCAGAGCCGTGGCGCCGAGACATACCCCGCACCAGCAGGCGCCACGTAGCGGGACCCGAAGGCCCAGGCCCCCAGGACCACCCCGCCCGGCTTCCTCGAACCAACGAGTACGTCGGGATCGGATGGTCTCGCGAAACCAACGCATAAGCCCTCGCCCGTAATTTTTCCGCCGCTTTATTGCATCTATACCCCTGAGCCTTGCCACAGGAGATCTCAGTTCTAACCTGGGACTCCACCCCCACTTTCCAAAAATCCTTGGCACACCCCTTTTCGCACTTCCAAGCCCACGTCTCACTCCGATCAGGAAGTCGCGCTGGGGGTGAGGTTGGTATCGGAGCCCGACACGTGGCTAAGCGATAGGGGCTGTAGACTCAATATTGGCTAAGGCGAGGCGATCTGGCTCCACGTGGGCGCCCTTCAGCCGGGGATACACGCCGACGTAGTCCTGTAGCTACACGAAGCCGAACATCCGCCTCAAGGCGAGCAGGCGCCATGGCTGCGGCCGCTGCTGCAGCAACCGCTGCGGCGGTCAACCCGCCTGCGCCACCTGCACGAGCCCCTGCGACTCCACCAGATCTTTATTTATTTGACCCAGCCCACCATCTCGCTGGAGCATGGTTAGCCACGCTCTGAGCTCAGCGGTATACGAACGATGAAGTTCAGATCAATATCCCCGCGCGGATGGGGGGGGATGCCCATCATTGGTATAGCACTTATGTATGGGTGGATCTTCCCACATTCGAGCGGGATTTTATGAACCACTTCGATTACGTTCACCCCGAACAAGCACTCTATATGATCAAGGATCGAGTCCAGAAACCACTCGAATCCATTACTGAATACCGGAACAGGTTTCATCAAATGTTCGTGAAGACTGACCGGAGTAAGCAGGTAGGCCGAGACTTGTTCATCGATGGGCTACGTAACAGAACGATTCGGGGGAAGCTACGTAAAAACTTCTCTCCTATTAACCACACGCTGCAGCAAATTATGGCGGATGTCGAAGAAATGGAGCGGAAGTTTGCCAAGGGCGGAACTGGCTGCGCTGCAGAACAAATTCGAAAACATGGGATTCATAGCCGGACCCGTTACGTATGTAGAACAGGTATCATCGAGAACCGCACCCCCTGGAGTGATTGTAAACAGGCAGATCCCGGTGACGGTGGCCCCATCCGTAACCCCGCTACCTCCACCGCCAACCCCCATCGAACCAACCGCACGAGCGAGTCAGTCTACTGCTATCTAGGAGCTAACTAAAACATTGGTCAGTCTAATCCAAGAAAGCAAGAAAGAACAGCGAGAGCACAACGCCCGATTAGAAGCTATGATGCGGAACATGCGACCCATCGCTGTGCGAGCACCGATGCAGGGAGGCATGGCTGCTGCACAGGCTGCAACTGGGCCAGCCGGGACAGCGGCAAATGCCTGTCTTACATGTCATCAACCAGGTCACCTGGCCCGGGATTGCCCCCATCGTGCCATGCAGCCTCGAGCCGGAGCCGCGCCTGCAGCTGCAGCCCCCATAGCTAACAGCCCAGGACGTGTAGGAGCCGTGATGGATGATCATTGATCAGGGAGGAAGTAATGGAATGATGATTTCCAGTGAGGAAGCGGTCGAGCTTATCCCGCTGGAGCAGTACGTATCACTAGGATATCCGGGGTTGGGAATGATTGGGACGATCCGACCAGAACCCGAGTCCAGAGATGTCGGCGAATGGCGGCCTTCGTCGAGCGAAATGGAGACGGCAGGTCCTACCTTTGTTACAGGAGAAATCGATGTCCTTGATGTTACCCGAGCACTGGATCATCGAATCCCTCTCCCAATCGGCCACCTACTCTCCATTTCAGAACAGGCGAATGAACGAATGATGCAGCACTGCAAAGCGAACCGGAAGCGATTCGCTCTTGCACGCGCAAAAGATCAGAAGGCGAAGGCGCCGGCTTTGGAGGAAAAGGCGGACGTCGCCTCTGATCCCATCCGAGTCGGATTGATACAGAAAGACGACCACTTTCTTCGGATCAAGCCGATTCCGTTGAAGTCAGCCGAATGTGATATCAAAGTCTGGGGGGTGCCGTACAGTGCGATCATAGATTCGGGAGCGGCTGTCCTAGCAATATCACTCCGAGTAGTCGACAGAGCGGGTAGGAAGAGTGATTTGATCATGCTAACTGAGAAAGACCAGCTCGTATCGGCTGACGAGGAGAAAATCAAGACAGTAGGACGGATGACAAATGTCGCGTTCCGTTTGGGAAAAGTGCATGCTTTAGGAGATGTTGTGGTACTGGATGTGAATACGTATGACGTTCTTTTCGGACTTCCCGCATTGGTAGCGCTGCGGGCTAATTTGGACTTCGAACGCCGATCAATCATTCCCCGGAATACCGGGGGAAAGTCGTATGTAATACCCATGAGACTAACTCTTCGAACGTCGGTTAAGGTAGTACCCCGAATTTCTCCGGAAGCAATGGGGGGGGCGCTCCGCATGGTCTCCTGAAATGCAGCTGTGGGCGAAGGCCAATCGTCGAATGACACGGGGAGCGACGACGATGATGACCCAGTTGTAACACGGCTAGCGCGGCAGCGGATTCACTACCCGCCGCCCCGCACTATCGCGCGTACTATGCATCTAACCTCACGAAATGCCCATATGATGATCATGGGAGAACCCCTCGTACAGATTTCGAGGCTGGTTGATTCCTTAGAACCCCCTCGAACCCTGTACGAAGGCGTATCTCCCCTTCTCCTTCGGTATAGTGACAAGCGTTCCTTCTGTGATCTCACTGGCTTACCTCGATCTCTGCTTCAACCCACAAAAGAGATACAGTTGTTGCGTTTGGGAGCCGAAGCAGGTTCTTTGGAACCCCCTCAGCGCATCGAGGCAAGATCCGATGAACTCGGGATCAAAATTTCGCCCAAAAGCGTGCCCTGGCAAGACATCTGCGACGGGATAACTCCCGAAGGTCATACAGCGATCAGGGAGGAGGAAGCACAGATGGTGGCCACTGTGTTTTCTTGGAAATCGGATCACTCTTTTATAATCCGATTTCCAAGATACTCGTTAACAGAGCGCAAGATACTCGTTTACGAGTATCGGTGGCCACTGTGTTTTCTTGGAAATCGGATCCACTGCAAGCCGTACCGATACTCGTTAACAGAGCGCAAGACGGCCTTGCAGCGAATCAGGGAATTTGAGACGAACGGATGGATTGAGCCTGCCACCGGTCCCTGGTCGTTCCCCGTTGTATTGGTTCCTAAAAAGAATGGGTCAGTCCGCATATGCATCGATTATCGAAAGCTCAATGATATCGCGATTAAAGATGTGTATCCCCTTCCCCGGATTGATGATCTGCTTGATGCGATTGGGTGCGCTAACTACTTCAGCAAGTTCGACATTCGGCATGGGTTTCATCATATCTTGGTGAAGGAAGAAGATTGGCCCAAGACCGCCTTCGTTTTGTTTGAAGGCACATGGCAGTGGGTTCGGTGCCCGATGGGAATCTGCAATGTGCCTGCCACGTTTCAGCGAGCGATGAACGTGACTTTTCATAATTTCGTCAACAAGACACGACTGACTCAGGGGATGATCAACTTCTGCGTCATTGTGTATATGGATGACATTCTGGTGTACTCAGACACGTTTCACAGACACGCGCAGCACATCGAATGGACGCTAGGTGCGTTGAGAGACGCAGGTTTCAAGATTGCGCTGGAAAAGGGCGAGTTTTTCCTTCCGAAAATATCATTCTCGGGATATGTTGTGACACGTGGAGGCCTGCGGCCGGACTCTCGAAAAGTCACGGCGGTGAAGGAGGCCCCAGTTCCGACCTCACTGACGCAGGTTCGAGCCTTCTTGGGCGTGGCCTCGTATTACCGGCGGTTCATCAAGGGGTTCGCGGCGATAGCAAGGCCTCTGACAAACCTGCTGCAAAAAGAACAGCCCCTTCATTGGGACGACGAGTGCGACCGGGCCTTCGGGGCCCTGAAGGATGCTCTCGTCACGGCCCCGATTCTGATTCGGCCGGACCCCTCTCGGCAGTTTATTCTCATCACCGACTGGCAGCCGGAGGCTATTTCGGCAATTGTGGCACAGAAGGGAAACGATGGGAAGGAGCATGTCATTGAGTACGCTTCCCGGACGGTGCCAGACGAGCGATGAAACGATTCTGCGCCACAAGGAGAGTGCTATGCGGTAGTTTGGGGTATCCAGCACTTTCATCCGTATTTGTATGGTCAGAAGTTTCTGCTCGTCACCGACCATGAACCTCTGTTGGCTCTGAAAAAGCTAACCAATTACACGGGCATGATTGGACGATGGGCGGTGCAGTTGCAAGAATATGAATTTGACATTGTTCATCGAAAGACGGAGAGACACGACAACGCCGACGGACTGACACGTTTGCATCGACCCGGTAAAGTACCAAAGGCGGAAGAGATCACACCGTGGAAGGACCCGGACATCAATAACGGTCCAAAGTACGGAGAAGTTGCAGTTATTCCACGGGGCCAGAAGCCGGTGAAGGACAATGGGTGACGGAGGTAATGATCCGACTTCCTCTCCTTCTTTCCCACCCTCTTCTTTCGCCTCCCTTCTTGACAAATTTTGCTATTTCTGTGAGGCAATCTCTCGTGTCTATTCCGTCCACATGCATCCTAAGGGGATGGGATATGCCGAATGGGTAGACTGTCGAAAATGTGTCGCACGTGCTGATGGTGCGTGCATACAGTATCGGAATAGTGATAGACCCTGGTTCTGTCCCTTATGTCGCACTGACCAGCTTCCGACGGAAGCCCGATTCCTCGAAGCCACGTCGGAGGGCCCCGACAAAATCCAGAAGTTTAGAAGAGCGGAAGTCTGGACAGATGTTGCCTTGATAGCCACTGTGGTAGGGAACTCCCTCGAAACCTTCTCCAAGGAGGATCGGAGGAGGGCCAATGAAAGAGCACGGGATTACCGATGGGTGGATGGACGGTTAGAAAAGCGTAAAACAGACGGCAGTGGAGCATGGTTAGTAGTTCCGCACCCGTTCATGTGGTACGACTGGGTGCGGACAGCCCACGAGGAAATGGCGGCCCATTTTGCCGTGCGTATTACCGAAGCTGCAATTGACAAAAATCAATGGTACTGGTCCAATATCCGAGATGATGTTAAATTCATCGTCCAACACTGCCACGTCTGCGCTGCTGATAAGGCCCCAACTCAACCGCCTAGGTCGATAGTCCCCACCATGGTTGAAAGACCGTGTCAGAGGGTTAGCATGGATACTACCGATATAGTGGTGCCCCCTGGCCCGAATAGCTGCGAGTATTCAATTATGCTGGTTTTCGTCGACCACTTTTCTAAGTGGATCGAGGCCTACCCCTGCAAAACACGACAAGCCGCGGAAATCGCGCGGTACGTCAACCGATTTCTGAGCATGCACCATGATACCGAAGAAATCCTGACCGACAATGGGGTCGAATTTAGAGGAGAAGTCGAGAGGAACCTGGTCATACACGGCGTCTCCATACGGCACACGGCCCCGCATATGTCCCAGTCTAACGGATTAGTGGAAAACACGAATAGGGTGATAAAAACGGCCTTACGACGGAATATTGGGGCCGGAATATTGCGGCACGTGACCCCCGACCCTGGCCGGATATTGTCGACCACATCTTGGCGGTCCATCGGGGAACGCCCCAGGAATCAACGGGCCTGAGCCCCTTTCAATTACGGACCAATAGCGTCGCGTGTGTTTCGATTCCGAGCCTCCTGGACGAATCAGGACTCAACCGACGCCCCACAAGGGCCACCGCTCGGGACAAAGCCAAGAGGCACCTGGAACTCATGGAGCGGTCCCCACCTAGACTGACCCGGAAGCGACAACGGTCCACCGAATTAGCCCATGGCCGATAGGTCCGGAGTTACGAGGCCCGGAACGGGAATGCGGGTCCCAGGGCCCGGTATAAGTTAGGGGACATCGTGCAGGTGAGGAAATGTGCGCGTCAGGGTAAACTAGCGCCACGATTCTTCGGGCAGTATCGAGTGATTGAGCTCGGACCCAACGGCGTTGACACCGTGCGCCTCGCTCCCGAGGTTTCCGGCAGTCAATCGGCTCGCCCGATCACACACCACGTGTCCTATCTCCGTCTTCTCCCCTCTGTTCTGTCTCCTTCTCCATCAACCTCTCCCGACGACGACTCTATCTCCTCTACATCTCCTTCTCCTTCTCAGTCTCTGTCAGGTACGCCGTCACCCTCGCCATCACCATGAGCTTTATGGAGGAGAGAGCTCTCAGTGAAGAAGCGCTGATAGCACGTGGGAGTTTCACATTGCGGCAGGTGCGTCATCCTCGTTTTAGTCCAGATCTTCAGTGGCTCGCGCAATTCTTCTGCTCGAGAGGCGTCTATGCGGCAGCAGAGATCCACGTCGACGGGAGCGCTGACGCGATCATATTGGCTGAAGTTCTCGGGCTGCGACAGCGAGCATCTGCGGGCGTCGGCCGGATAACGGTGGTGGTTAACTTCAGTGGAGACCTCACGGCGATCCCTCCTCACCGACACACGAGCATCAAGGTGGCGTTGCTTCTGTGGGTGCAGAATCTTCAGAACGAGTGGACCCAGCTCCTGGTGCACCAAGGAGACGTGATCACACCAATCCGAGCGATCGGATACGACGGCCTTCGGCTGGATCGACGAGACCCGCCGACGCGATTACCCACCCTCATCCCCTTCCATCCCCAATGAGCTCCTTCCCGCTCTCTACTTTTGAGCTTCCTTCTTCCTTCCCCACCTTCTGGCAATCTGATCTTCATCCCCGCCTCTCCTTCTGCATAAATCCTCTGGCTGTCCCCCTTCTCGATCCACCTCAGTGGGACGCGTGGCGTAGAGACTTCGTCGAGCTTTCACTGTGCTTGACGGAGGTACGGGTGACGTGGACGAGGGAGGAGAGAAATTATCCACGGTCTGAGCGATTGGAGCTCCTTTTGATCCAGGCGTGGCGGACAGAAGTAGAGGGTGACCTTCTCGGTTTCCTATTCGGGTCAGTGCGTCTAGGCTGTCGAAGGCTTCTCACCCAGGAGCTTACGGTCTCGATTGCGCAGTTGGCAGACGATCTCGACGTCAGCATCGTCTCCCAGGACGATCCGCGCTTGGTGCCCCACGTCACCTCACGCACGTTGTTGCCGTATCTTCAGTGGTCAGCTTGCGTGGAAGGCTTCCCATCGAGAATTCCACCTTCGCGGTTGGATTATTTGGATCCACGCGACATCTTGGATCCCGCTTTCTACAGACCGCCGTACGAAGACGAATTGGAGGAGATAATCCGTGAGGAGCTCGCGGAGGAAAGTTCGGAGGAGGAGGAGGAGAATCTGAACGAAGACGAAGGGGAGCCAGCACAGCAACGAGAAGACGAAGAAGACGAGCTCCCGCAAGTGGAGAACGAAGAGGAAGCAGAAGAAGAAGACAGCGAGCAAGGGAGCGGTGACGACAACGACGAGGAGCACGCCGCCGAGGAGCCCCAGCTGGAAATTGTGCCGGTTGCTGATCTTCCGATCAGCAACGATCCAACGCTCGACCCGGAGCTACCTCAGCCAGACGATGGCGATGTGGCCCAGATGGCTGGGCCGTCCGCTTGCCGGCCTCCTTCCCCACTGCGACGCCGACGACGAAGCCGCTCCCCCTCTGTCTCCTCCTCCCTCGCGACCCGTCCCGCACTTCGAGCACGTCGAGATGAGACCGATCGGTCTTCGTCCTCGGACTCTCTCTCGACGCCCCCTTGACTTCCTCACCCTGCGCCAACTCACCCGTTCCACCGTCTTCCCCCACAATCCCTTCCCCCGCGACACTTTCCGTCATTACTTCTCAATCCGTCTCTCTGTCACAGTCCATCCCCACCCATCCGCCCGGTGTGCCTCCCCTCCATGTACTTCTTTTCAGCATAGGATGGCGTCGTATCAACGCCGTAGAGGTTTATTGCCTCATCACGGGGTTAATCCCCGCATGCGCCGACCGCGATCGCTTTCGCGCGGCGCTTCTTAGAACCTTCACCACTCTTTATCCCGACTACCTCGCTTCTCTCCCCACTACTGGCCGCCGATTCCCCCGCTTCCATAGAATGTCCCAAAGCCTGGTCGAGGTCCCACTCGCAAATACGTTCGTTCCCCGTCAAGTAGGAAAATTCTGGAGGTTCCGCCCTGTGTCGTGCAGATAAACAAGAGTGTTCCCATTGGCAGGAAGGTACATGAGGCGAATGGGAATTGAACCCTAGGACCTCCTGAATGCCACTGGGGTGCCTCACCAACCGAGCTAGGCCGCCGGAAAAAAAATATCGATTTCCTCTGTCCGACCAGTTGAATGAAACGGAGGATCCCCATCTCTCTACCGTCATTATCAACGATTCTCCAGGGTCAATACGAACAGTCCATGATGCAGTCCATGATTCACGACATAGGGTTGGCTATCCTCCTACTACGTAGCTTAGGGCTTGAGGTTGGCATAGCAGTTCCTTAGTACGGGACGTCGAGGGTGTCAGGAGATACTCCACCTTACCGCGGGGCCGGAACGGGCTCCAGGGATATACGATGGAACAGAGGATTCCCAACTCTCTACCATCAACACAATAGAACACTGCAATACACACATGACTCAGGGTTGGCTATCCTCCTAGTACGTACCATAGGGTTATGACGTACTAGCTTCCAGACCTACGCCATCTTTCGGACCCCTTCCTTTTTCTCGTGTTTTCTCTGCATCCAAATGTGTACAGTTCGACCCCAAGACCCTCCCCCATCCCCTTTCTGTATGTGCCCGATTCAAGGTACCTTGCGGAAATCTGTTAGCTCCTTTCCTTTTTTTTTTTTTTTTGATTGAAAATGCATGGGAATTTCGCGCGCCTTAACGAGTGCGCTTGGAATTTGGTTCAGCAGTTACAAATCCCGGAGTTATCGGAATACTGCATGACCTTCCGCGCGTGAATGTTCTCGGCCTCGACCTTGAAGACTCTGGGAAATTCTTGTACGAATATGAATCGACGGAAGATTTTCTTTCCCTCGCCTGTTTTGCGCGCGGATATGGTACTTTCAATTTTGAATTAGCATAGGATTGGAAAAAACTGCAACTGTTTTGGTGCCCATTTCCCTCTTGCTGACCGGCGCCATGCAAGCAAGCTCCCTCCTCCTTCCTCCCCCGCGTTCCTCTCACCATCCTTCTTCGCGCGCATATGCTTTCTCGCCCCCACCCCCTGTAACTGTTTTTCCCTCCCCTTTCTCCGCACGAGCCTTTTTTTGTTTTTCCTTCTTCTTGATCATCTGAATCTTGGACCCGTTTCGTGCTATCCTTCGCGCTCCTATTCTTCCCGCTCTAAAATCCGCGCTCAAAAACCCAGTCGATCCTCTCTCCCCGTCTAACCAAGGAGAAGCACCATGTAAGTTCTTACTGCACGACGATTCTGATTGGCTGAGGTCGAGTTAGGAGGATCAACATGGCTTTCGATGGGCGGCCACTTTCAAACTCTCCTACGCCCTCCTCTGTCTCACCCTTCACCCTTCTCTGCATCTCTCTCCCTTCTCACAACTATAAATTCCGCCGACGCTCCCGCAAACTCTCTCTCAATTCATCGGCCAGCTTCCGGGAAGTAGTGGCTAGGTGATGTGTATGGTGTGAGTCGGAAAGTCCTGACGAGTCGACTGTAGACTGACTGGCGGTGCGCTAGATTGCCACGACGGACTGTGGGATCTGGGCAAGCCACGTCGAGACTAAGTTGGCGGGTGAGATCACAGTGGTGGAGGATGACGCGCGACGGCCGGGATCGTCGGTGTCAGAATGCGGACAGGTGATCTGAGTTGAGTGGATGACTAGCCTAGGGCCGTGTTGGAATTTGATGACGAGTGCGCCTTCTTGGTTACGAATCTATTCTTTGGTGTGACCTCGCGCCGGTAAAGCCGAACCTTCTTTTCCTCTCCCATCTCAGTGTAACTCTTCCCTCGGATCTTGATATCCCCGTCTTTTTTTGTCGCAGTTCTCCTCCTCCTTCTTCCTTATGTGGATGGTTCTACGTAAAAGTTGGTGTGTGATGGAATGAGTATGATGACTACGTCGGAATGATTTCTTCCGGAACTCTTCCATCAGTTTCCTGGGTAGTCCCCTGATCTATTGGGTTTTGTCTTGTGAACGGTGGATGCGCATGTATCAACCATTAAGGATTCTTCCCCTAACGCCACCTTGTTGGAAAATTGCATGACTGTCATTTTCGCACCTTCCACAGTGAATGCATGCATGGAAGATAGGAATGAACGGGTACAAAAACTATCTTGATTAGGACGAATTGATGGCAGGGGCAATGTTGTTGGGATTTGGAAATGCAGGAATGCTTTGATTTGTGATTTTCGAAGGAATGTTGTGAGTATATATGCGACGCACGCACAAAATAGCGACCACGTCTCGCCACACATGAACTTTCCTTTCTCTTTCTCCTCTCCACCTGTTTTTCCTGACTGACCTTTCCGATTGGATTGCGAGGATTGCATGCACGCGATAAATGGTTAAATTATTTCTGATTGTCTGCTATGTGGACTAACGGGCTCAACCCGACTAGGCGACAGCCTCCCGTATCCCCTCTCCGCCCCTTCCCGTATAACGAGGAGAGGACGTGTACCTGTGAGTGGGACATACGAGAAGCCGTCGCAAAGATCGATGGGCAGTACTATTTCCCTCCTGAAAATCGGTGCTCTGGGTTCGCAGGCGCTGGGTTTGTCATTGTGGATACGCACTTTCCGCCGTACTCGCTACTACTACCCTTTAACGAGTTGATCGTCATCCCGTGGTCGGCAGTGGTACCCCATTGGCCTAACACCTTGTGTAGTGATTGCCAACGTCTCGATCACTACCAGTCGAAGGGGTTCCATTACCGACTGTGGAACGAGGACGAGCACAAGGAAAGGGCCACGCGATTGAGACCGTGCCCATCCACGTCGGATTCGGAATTATGTAATGTGCGGCGTCGGGAGCTAGTGCGAAAACGAGATACTAGACACGTGCCCGCTCCCTTCCACTCCAAACGAAGAGCCGTGGCCCGGTGGGAAGTCCGGCAGTACTTTTTGGATTGAATTCAAAACTTCCCCGCGTCGCGAATCCCGCGCACGCCGAAACCCGCCAGATCGCTCACTTCATCAGACCGACACGGGGGATTTCAATTCTGTCTGTGTCCCCACACTCAATTTTCCAAAAATCCTCGGCACACGTCATCTAGCTGTTTTTCGGGGCCTCCTTTCCGCACCCTTAGCACTCCGAACGGAAAACAGCGCAGGGCGTGAGGTTGCGCGTCACATGAGGCTGGCATAGCAGTTCCTTAGTACGGGACGTCGGGGGTGTCAGGAGATACTGCACCTTACCGAGGGGCCGGAACGGGCTCCAGGGATATACGAGGGAATGGAGGATCCCCAGCTCTCTGACATCAAAAATGTAACACTGTGCACCCTCATGAAGACCTGTAGTAGCATGTTCATACCTAGCTCCCGAAGTCCCCGTGCAATCGGGCTTTCACGGCGTCTGCTTCAACCAGGGCTGAGCAGGGGGCGTAGGTGTCTCTGCCTAGCCCGGGTGCCTGCAACCGCTGTCTGGTCAGGTCACCCTGCCAATATGGCAATGGGTGATGGTCCCGGGTGGTTAACACTAGGGTAGGACAAGGGGGTGGGGGTGCGCCAGGGCAAAAATGATAAGAGGAAGGGTGGGTGGGGTCTTCAGAGGGATTCAGCTGGACAACTGAGTGGCCGAGTACTGTGGATAACTGCCATTGGTCTAGTATCCCGCCTCTACAACAACCTGGGCTTTACGAAAAAAGGGAAAAAAAAAAGAAAAAGAAAAAAAAAGAAAAAGAAAAAAAAAGAAAGAGAGATCCAGCCGCCCTAGTTGGTATGGCTCACAAGTGGCATTCAGGGGGTAGTGGGTTCAATCTTCACCAGCCTTATGTACCTTCCTTGGCATGCTTGGCGCCCGCCACCTAGAAATAGACCACTGGATCCCCCGGCATTGAGCAGAGTCTGCTGATGTTCGTAGGGGTGGGGACCATCATCTGACGGGAGGCACAGGGATTGGTCCTGTTGGCATGGTCCCTGATGCTACCCGCTGTCCACTGGGGCGTGGTCCCACTAGCAAAGAGGATGGGATGGAATGCCTGAATCTGGACGTGTTTGTTGAGAGGTGCAGGAAATCGAGATTGAACTGCTTTTCTGCATCTCTGCATAAAACACGTCCACATTCAGGTATAATATCGCTCCTCTTTGCTAATGGGAGCTCGGCCCTGGCTGGTCTCGCCCACCTGCAGGTCGGGAGCAGCCCCCGCATGTTCTCTGGTGAACACGGTTCTGGCTGCCTCCGGAGTTCCCCGTATGCCTACGTATCCCTACAATTAGTAGTAAAAAAAAAAAAAAGGAGTGGTGGTGGGTAGGCTGAGGTGAAGAATTTAAAAACTAAAACAAAAAAAAGGGAAAAAGAGCAGAAAAAAACAAAACAAGCAAAAAAAAAGGAAAAAGAGGTAAGAAGTCAGGACAGCTCACCTACGCAGACGCCACAGACGGAAGCTATTTTGTCGTTATCCCTTGTGGTTTTCAAGGGTACAAGCACTGCCCAGCACGTCACGCAGCGCGGTTAGACCCTCAGAGCCTCTTACTTCTCGAGGGGATACGTCATCCATTGTTTTGTTTTTCTCGGAACTACTGTAGGTAGCCGCCACGCATCAATCGAGAAACCGTTTTTTTTTTTTTTTTTTTTTTTTTTTTTCCTCCGTGGCCCGGAAAAATTAATTTAATATCGTGTGTGTAATCCGAATACAAGACTCGAACACACAACCAATTTAATATCGTGTGGTCCGAT